ATTTAAATGACCATGCTTGGTGTTCTTCTGAGCCACATGCAACACATTTTGGAGGCAGATTGGACTGGCATCTTGTACTTTTGTGTTGTCCTCCACATCTTGTACAAACAACAGGTTCTGTGCATTCTTCAGTTTTGTGTGTGAAATGTAGGCATCGATTACAAGGAATGGGGGCTGGTTGTGGAAGTGCACTTGGGTAAACTGCGTAATGCCTGCATTTATAATAAACGCCCTCATTTAGTAGTTTTTCATATGTTGACACATCCGGAGTTATTATTCTTATTAGCATAGTTGGTAAGTTTGTTGATCTAGAGACGATTCGCTTACAGTATCTATGGGGAAGGGTTGTTTGAAGATGCTCGGATAGATTTTCGGATGTAATGCTCTGTTCAACTCCAGAGATAACGCAGGAGTAGGAAGACACTGGATGCTGCTTTTCGCTACTCTCTCTCTTGTATGGCTGAGTTTCTGAATAGTTAGTTATTAGTTTTTCATCCTTCCACTTCTTCAAAGTTTCTTGAAGAATAGTTTTGGTTGTGTTGCTCTTTAGTAAGAATCCTTTTTTGGTTTCTAGGATTATATCTCGGTTATTAGGTATTGCATTTTCCCACAATTCAGCAATCTCCGCGCGGTTCATTTTTTGTGTAGTGTCGAAGTAAAATAGTGAATTGTATTTTTGTTGGAAAATTGTCCGCATTTTTTCCGATGCATTTTTGAGTTTGTTGGTTATTGTTGATGTTGATGATGGGGCTGCTTCATTGTTGGGTTTTTTCTGTGGATTTTCATTTTGTGGACTGTTAGTGTTTCTTTTCCTTTTGTTTACCAAATTCCATTCGGTTTCATTATCTTGCGAGTCTCCCATCCTTTTCGAGGCAAAAACCTCGAAAACATCGGCTGGGTATTCAATTCTCCACCTTTTATTCGAACTATAAATATTATTTTATTAATCTCGACAACAAAAAACGGGAAAAAAAAAACACCCGATAAGCCACGGCGGAGGAGACAAACAAACAGCACGTCGTTTCTCCTTGCCTACCGAGAGTGTACTGTGTGTTAATTTTAATAACACAGTATCAGATAAACAGCAAATCAATGTTGGTGTACCACAGGGATCAATCTTAGTACCAATATTGTTTTTGCTTTACATAAATGATCTTCCCAACATTGCTCTGGATGAAATCTATTACAACTTTGCAGACGACACGATTGCACAAACCAAACACACTGACCTACTGATTGCTACTGAAATGTCGGAGGAACCACAGTCGAGAGCTAGGAAATGGTTCTCAGCAAATAAACTTTTCCTAAATGAAGCCAAGACACAAAACTTCACTTTTTCACTGAAAAGAACTGAGGCGGTGACTGGCATTGTCAAGTTTTTCGGAGTTTCACTAGATCAGAAATTACTGTGGGATGCCCATACTGAAATGACATCCAATAAACTAAGTAAAAATGCATTTGTTCTGGAAAATTTGTCATTGTGTGTTTCTCCAGAAATTCTAAAACAGGCTTATTTTTCTATCTTCCATTCAAATTTAAGTTATGCATTATTAGTTTGGGGCCACTCAAGCGGTTCCCGCAGAGTCTTTGCCTTGTAAAGGCGAGCCATAAGAATAATAGCAGGACTGAAATACAGAGATGATTGTAAACAAGCTTTTGTTGACCTCAAGGTTTTAACTCTCCCAGGTGAATACATCTTGCAGAACCTGATGTATGTCAGGGACGGTCATGACAGATTTATCCGGCATAGTGATGTTCATGATTATGACACAAGAAATAAAAATAACCAATAATCTATTTACCATCGTTTACATAGGTGTCAAAATGGCCCTGGATATCATTCTATAAATTTCTTCAATAAAATTCCAGAACCCCTAAAAAATCTTAGCAGAATCCAATTTAAGAGGAAAGTTAAAGACATGCTAATTGAATGTGCATTTTATTTAGTAGAAAAATTCAGCAACTCCACACTTGTTTGGGTAGGAAATAAATTGCTATCACTGTGATAAATAGAATTAGGTGCACCAACACTTTTTTTTTTTTAATGCCGTCTTAACCTAATGTTTGTATTATGTCTGATGTATATTATTGTATATTTTAAGCTACTTTGTGAAATGTTTTTTTAAAAAATGAAATGTTCTACTATTTTTTGACATGTGTAAACACGTAAGTGTAAATGGCACGAAAAATAAATGATTTGATTTGATGATTTGATTGATAGGTAAATATGTAGAAGTCTTGATAATCCTACAATCTAAAAATTGGAGAATTTCAAAAGTGAAATAGAATAATTTTGTTATTATTATGTGCTTGTGATTTTAATAATAGTTGTGGCGGAGAATATGAAAATTGTTTAGTGGACTGTATGATTTGAAAGAAAATGAAATAAATGTTTGAGCCCGGTAGCCACAGATCACTACTTACCTTTGAAAAGGGTTTCTGTTGGTTCTCTGGATACTGGTCCAAACTGAAGCGTGTTGACTGTAGCAGAGTACTCTGTAGCTTCTTAGGGCAGTAAAATAGGGGCAGTTTTGTTGTAGTGACCGAACCGTCTGATACGACACGAATTTGTAGGGGTCGCGTAGCGAGAGTGTGTTGTCTACTCTGCAGCCGAGAATATATTATTTTCAAAATCTCGGACAAGGCAGCATAAAATGCAGCTGTTTCGAGTAAGTGACGTGTGCGCATATGATAAACGAAAAAAAGTCGTTAATAAAAAAATATATGTACAATCGAACTTTGTAGATTACTCCACACAAACTAAAATAGGCAAAAAGCCCTTTTGAGAGTTTCCCAAACAATAGTAAATTACATAAAAAGTGTGGTTACTAGGTTATAACCGTAAGCGAAAGAATTTTGCAAACCGAGCCGATGAGGTGAGGCTTAAAATGTGTAAGGGCCGTAATAACCTAATTACCACTAATTACCCGATTCCAGAAATAGACAAATGAAGGCCAAGAGCCCAATCCAAAAAAAAAAAAACAAAAATTAACAATAAACAAAATAAAAATGTAAATTTTATTGATTCAATCCAGGCAAGGTTTAAAAGAATTTATAATAATAATGATTCAGTTTTTTTCCTAACCATAGAATCTGATAAGGATAATATTGGCAAATTCTCACAAATAAAAATAAGTAACTAAAGAGATAATAGACACTTTATGTTGGACCAAACACGTTAACGTAATCTTTAAACGTAAACCCTAAGGGCGAGTATTATAAAACTACTTTGACAGTTAACTTGAAGTTAACTTTTTGAATTACATGTATTTTCAAAAGTTAACTTTAAGTTAACTCTCAAAGTAGTTTTATAATACCCGCTCTAAAAGGGGGCAACATCGCTCCCATGGACACGATACAAAATACAGAAATCGGATTTAGACTACAAAAAAAAAAAACGCAAGGGCCGTCTGTGGTCATAAGGGCCAACCAACGTGAAAAAATTTTCTACATTTCATACAACATTTTTGCTTTATGAAGTTTTTACTCACCCCCTGCCGTTTTTCAATAGGGGTAGTTTAAATTTTTTTTATTTTTTTACAAAAAAAAATTCCTAATAAAAGTTTTATAAGATGACATTTCCTACAATTTTTCCTAATCAACTTTTTTTGTAACTCATCCCCATTCAGCGGGGGGACACTTCCCTCGGGGAAATTTTAGTTTTTAGGGGTATATATTAATTTTTTTTTTCTTTTCTCGTCTTTAATGCATATAAAAAGTTGCAATTAACATTATAATAAAAGGATTTTTTTTTTTACCACCTTTTTATTTTTAGGGGTAGTTCGCCTATTTTCAACTTTACAAAAAAAATTTATTAAGAAAACTTGTTTATTTTATTATTTTGAGCAACTTTTCTCCATAACTTTTTTTTGTAAAGTTGAAAATAGGCGAACTACCCCTAAAAACAAAAAGGTGGTGGAAAAAAAATTCTTTTAATACAATGTTAATTGCACCTTTTTATATGCACTAAAGGCGAGAAAAGGAAAAAAAAATTAATATATACCCCTAAAAACTAAAATTTGCCTAAGGGAAGTGTCCCCCCGCTGAATGGGAGTGAGTTACAAAAAAAGTTGATTGGGAAAAATTGTAGGAAATGTAATCTTATAAATTTTGTGAAAAAATAAATAAACTTTAAACTACCCCTATTGAAAAACGGCAGGGGGTGAGTAAAAACTTCATAAAGCAAAAATGTTGTATGTGTTGTAGAAAAATTTTTCACGTTGGTTAAAATTTTTCATTTTCATTATAAAATTTCAAACGGCCCTTATGACCACAGACGGCCCTTAATCAAAAAAGTCTTTAGATAAACATTGTAGATCAAATAATGTTGCATATCTTTTATTTGAAACATTTTTTTGTAAAATCAATAGGTACAAAGTAATCGCCAATGGCGCACTTTCAACCCCTATAGCGCAAAACGCCAGAGGGGTGAATGTTTGATATTTTCGGTTTTATGATCACCCACCCGCCCCCTATCATCCCTGAAAAGTTCATTTGGGTAGGAATTTTTTTTTTGCAATACATGTATTTTTCGACTATTTTCTTAGACTATTAAATTAGTGGAATAAAGTATCAAAATTCTAGTGTGCGACTATGCGAAAGTCACAATGTGGTTTTGATGGATGAAAAAAAAAAAGTCTATGAGGTTTGAAGGAAAAATACCGTGTTCTATTCGCAGAAAAAGCGACTTTTTCTCCTAATAAAACAATATCTACTGGTTCCTAAAATTTAAAATTCTATATCACTCTGCCAACACGTAAAAAGCCAATTTTCTAGTAAATCTTTCGAAAAAAACCTAGAAAAATGATTGAGAACCATTTTCCAAACCAAAAACATTCGGCAATTCACCATACCTTAATAAAACATTATTACAATTATGCCAAAAAGTGGGGAATTTCTCATTTTAATAAAAAATAAGTAGGTAATTCTGAAATCCCTATTACCTTAATAGACAAATAATAATATATAACCTAATAATAAATGAAAAACTTTGAAGTATAGGAAAATAAGTCTTTATTTCTTTAGAACAATTTCAAATTTTATTCGCAGCTATCACAAGCTGGAGCATTACCGGATTCATCACAAGATGGGAACAAGCTGCTCATATCAAAACCATGCCCGAAAGTAGGAGCTGGGGCACGAGCTGGAGCACAAGCTGGAGCATAAGCTGGAACATAAGCTGGACCAGTAGCTGGGGCACAAGCTGGGACACAAGCTGGAGTTGAACCATAAGCTGAACCATAAGCTTGACCATAAGCTGGACCATAAGCTGGACCATAAGCTGGACCATAAGCTGGAGCTGGAGTTGTTGGAGCAGGATCCACAGGTACAATTTTTGGTACTACTGCGTATTTCCGGCATTGGCAATGGTTACCGAGTGGAATTTCTTGTGGAATCGCCACGGTAAAATCAACATCCGGGTGCTGGGTGGTTTTAGTTGGAGTAGGTATGTAAGGAAAACTTGTTTGGTCCTTTTGACATGTTGCTTTTTTACTTAGGCATGCCAGTTTTTCAAAAAGGCACCCCGCGTTAGCCTGAAAAGAAAATCAATTTAATTTATGTCGTGATGAATTTATGTTAACACTTAGAGAGAGGTTTTTGAATTTGTTTCGGAAAAATTCCACGAATAAGTTACAATCAAAAACTTCGTCCAAATAACAATTAGGTACAAAATTTGCGTAAAATCAAAGTTTAATTATCAACCTACCTGTTGAGCTACAAAAGCTACAGCCAAAGATACAGCAACAAATCTAAGTGCCATTTTTTTTGTATTTTTTTTGTTTTGTCAGTTATCAATCTGAAACTGTGCTTGCAATTAAACAGTCTTAGGTTTTTATAGTACCTATCCTCTGATAAGAAAATCCATTCCAATAAATTTTTCACGTCGTCGTGGGTTGTACTTCATGGTACGTGATATTTTAGGAAGTCGCCGAATTTACCCGGAAGATGTGTTATGTTGTTTTAGTACTGTATACTATAATACCAAAGGAATTTGTTATTTTTTTATTTCGTAATTGTTGTTCTAAGGTTAATTGCATTTGTTATTTTTGTTTAATGCTTTTAATCATTTTTAAATATTGAATCTGGAATGATAATCGTTTGGTGCGATTTCACACAAATTCCTTATGTGCTGTTAAGAAATTTGGAAAATATTTTTCGGTATGTATTTTAGTTTAAAAAAATAGCGTAATATTGGAATTTCCTTATAAAATTTTGATATAGGTTAGGTATTTAAAATTAGTTAACATTTAGTTAAAACTTTAATGAAAGATAGTGGCTGAAAAAATAAAATTATTGATAGTGTTTATTTCTCTGTATAGTGTGATGTTTATGTTTGTTGTGTTTTGTTGTTCAATAAAAGGAATGTTTTAAGTGATTGGTTTAACATTTACTCTCAAATTAACAGTAACAAATAGCTTTTTGAAAACCAGTCACATTTCTTGTTTTATTCTTAAATCAGGTTCTGTTATTCTTTTTTTAAAGTTGACAGTTGACTTTTTGTTAAAATGCTCTGACAGAGGAGCGGAGCTACGTTCCTAAATTATGAACACTACATTTCTCCTCTACTTTAAATTAAAAAAAAACTTACTTACAAATGTTTGTCACAAAATGAACTTCAACTTTGATATTTAAGAAAGTACATGAAACATTAATCAGAATCAAAATCTGTAGCATAATCTTCTAATCGACTAGGCTTCTTCCTATTACGTTCAGGTCTTCGTCTTCGATCAGCAGTCGTTTCGCTAGAGATGTATTCGTCGACATCTGTATTAAAGGTGGTTGATTTTTCATTTTCATGTTCTTCTTGCAAGGGACCTACATATATAATGTCGTCATCTTCGTCGTGGGAACTTTGGCTATCTTGAGGGGAAAGTGATGCATAGTCATCTTCTTCTTCGTCTTCTGGTTCTTCTGGTTCACGAGTTGAAGAGTTTTGACTAATTGGTGTTAGGATGTTTTCGACATTTCATTATCTGTTTGTTGGAGGTTAATTTTCCATGAAGTGCTCAAAGGTTTAATGTGTGTTGGCTTAGGGTAGTTATTAAGAGGTTTGGTAAATGATGGTTTTGAGATAATGGGGTAGAAAAGTTTTAAAAATGATGAGTTTCTTTTTATGGTCTTTCCATATCTCTCTGCAATTATTTGTGTTCCTTGCACTTGTTTTATTTTGTATGGATTTGGATCAAATCTGGGTGTGAGGCTGTTCTTTTTGATCTGCTTGCATAAAACAAGATCTCCCATTTTAAAGCTGTGGGTGTGTGTGTGTCTTCTATTGTCGGCATATTCTTTCTGCTTTCTTCTGTTCTCTTCGTCTTTGTGTTTTACAGTGTGATGATGTTCATGCTGAGTTTCTTGGGTCTTATACATTGGTAACATATTGTTAATATTTCTTTGAAATACCAATTCAAACGGCGTTCTTTCTGTAGTTGAGTGGGGTGTGCTACGATAATTTAAAAGAAATTGTTGGATCTGTGACTCAAATTGCTTCGTTTCCAAGTGGGCACAGACAAGTGACTTTTTGAATGTCTTCACGAACCTCTCCGCTAAACCATTCGCTTCAGGCCAATAAGGAGTAACTCGTAAGTGTTTTACGCCAAGACTTCTCAAGAATGATTTCATTTCTAGACCATTAAATGGAGGGCCATTGTCTGATTTGATTTGTTCAGGAATTCCAAATGTGCTGAATGTTTTTTCAAATATTGTTTTAATGCTGGCAAAGCTTGTGGAAGGTACTACTTCTGCTAGTGGGTATCTAGAGTATTCATCTACTAAAATAAATATATATTTATTATTGGGAAACGGACCAGCAAAATCTATATCTAGATGACTAAATGGAGTATCTGGTAACTTTGATGAAATAATTGGATCTCTATGTCTTGTGTCTGTTACAGCTTGGCAGGGTGTACAATTCTTGATGAATGTTTCTGTTAATTTGTCGATGTTTGGGAACCATACTTTGGTGCGTAACAACTGTTTCGTCTTCACTATACCCATGTGTCCTTTATGTGCCAACTCTATAGCAGACCTTTGAAGTGAACTTGGCAAAACAATGCGTGTACCTCTTAGAACTATGTTATCTTGAACGGTTATTTCGTCTTTGATTTTATTAAATGGTATTAATTCTGACTGATTCCAATTGTTTTTGCTGTTTCTTATTGAATCTATTAGCGCTGTTAGTACTCTGTCATTTCTGGTTTCTTCTTCAACTTGTTTGATTGTCATGGCTTTAGGTATAGATGTGTGTATTAAGAAGTTTACATATTCTTCAATTTTGGTATGATCTGACACAGTTTCTAGCGGATGTCTGGATAAATAATCAGAAGGGTTTGATTTTCCTGTTTGATGGACAACTTTAAATTCATATGGTTGGATCCTTAGTAGAAGTCTCTCGATGCGAGCACTGGGAGATGAACGACTATTTCCTAAAATTTTCACAAGTGGTAAATGATCAGTATGGAGTGTGAATTTTGAACCGTACAAATATATATTGAAATGTTGGATTGACCATGTGCATGCTAATGTTTCCTTCTCTATCTGGCTGTACCTCTTCTCGACCTGTGATAATGTTCTACTTGCATAAGCGATTATGTTACTTCCTTGTGTTAGCAATGCACCAAGACCTTCAGGTCCGGCATCAACGAAAAGATCAGTTGGTTTGTTGATATTGAAGTACGATAAAGTAGTCGCTTGTGACAACTGTTGTTTCAAAATTTCAAATGTTCTGTCATGGTCTGACTTCCAGTTCTATTCTGCATTTTTAAGTGTTAAATCTCTCAATATTTTTGTATTTTCCGCTAAATTAGGCAGGAATTTTGACAGATAGTTGATCATGCCCAAAAGACTTCTAACTTCTGAAGGGTTTTCTGGTGGTCTCATGTTCAGAATGCTGTTTACTTTGTCAGGGTCTGGTTGGATTCCTTCACTTGAGAACACATATCCGAAAAACTTGATTTTTGGGACACTAAGAATACATTTTGAAGGGTTGATTGTTAAATGAGTCTCTTGTAATTTTCTTAAAAGTGCTTCCAATGATGAATTGTGTTCTTTTATTGTTTATCCAAAAACTAATATGTCATCGCTGTAATTGATTACACCTGGAATGTTAGCAATAATCTGTCTCACAGTATTTTGGAAAATCTCTGCAGCTGCGTTTACTCCAAAACTCAATCTTTTGTAACGATAAAGACCAGCATGTGTTGAAAAAGTTGTTATGTACCTACTTTCTTCACTTAATGTCAGTTGATGATATCCATCTTTCAAGTCAATGGTGCTGTACAATACTGATCTGTTTAGCTGGTTTATGATGTCATCAAGTGTTGGAGTGACGTGTCTTTCTCTTAAAATCGCTTTGTTGGCGGATCTCATGTCAACATATAACCTTATTGTGTCTTTATTTCGTTTTGGGACTATAACTATTGATGACAGCCATGGTGTAGCACCAGTTGCTTTTTCAATAACATCCTGTGTTTCCAATCTGTTCAATTCTTCTTCAACTTTAGCTCGAAGGTGGTAGGGGATTCTTCTATGCTTTTGTGCCACAGGAGGTACATTCGGGTCTATATGTAGTTTGATCTCAGAGTTTTTTAAATTGCCAATCCCTGTACAAATTTCTGGATAATTGTTTTGCACATACTTAAGATCAATGAACTTTTGATTGACATTGTTAGTAACTTTAATTAAATTCAATCTGAATGATGTATTATAGCTTAATAATGATTGGCAGTCACCGTGTACAACATGAATAACGGCTTCTGTTGAATTGTTTCTGTGTTTTAAAACTGCTGTAAATTTGCCCAATATTTTTAATTTATTATTAGCACAGTAAGCATAAATGTCTGAACAGTCTTCAAATAAGATTTTGTTGTGCAGTTTTAAAAATGTTTTCTCACTTATAAGATTCACAGAGCTTCCTGTGTCTATTATGAAATTAACTACATTGTTATCAATCGAAACATCAACAGTCGGTACGTCACTTACCCTGTTTATAGCAGTAACTTGAAAAGAAGTATCAGAGTTACTATCATTTTCACTCATATGTTGGTTGTAGTTTGTTACTTCTCTACTTGATGTTCCAGGATTTTCTGTACGACCTCTATTGTTGTGGTGGTTTGATGTGGATGGCTGCGAAAATTGATGTGAGTTCGAGTTATTGTTTTGGGACTGACCTTGTGCTTTTTGCTTAGCTATGCATGTTTTTGAAAAATGACCTTGTTTTGAACAAAAATGACAGATAACATTCCGAGCTGGACATTCCTGTCTACCATTTAAATGCCATTTATTTCCACAATTTCTACATTGTTTGTTTACATTGAATTGATTGTTATGTTGACTCGATCTGTTCGCATTTGATTTATGTTTTGTTGTGTTGTTTGTTCTATTTTTGTTACTTATTCGAGAAACTACCTCTGAGTTCGGTTCCATTTGCTGAGCCTGAGTGTTTGTTAACTCATACGCCTTCGCTTGGGCAAGCAATTGTTCTAAAGTTGGGTTTTCAGCTAATCCATACTTCCTCAATCTTGTAGATGTGGTGCATTGGATTATCTGAGACTTGATTTCTCTGTTTTTGTCATTAAAGTTACAATTAGTACTCAATTTTAATAACCTAGCATAATATTCTTCGATGGACTCTGAGAACAGCTGTTTAGCTTGTCGAAAATTAAAAATTTCGAATTCTGTATTGATTTTAGGTACAAAATGAGTATTTAACTTCTTTTTAGCTGTTTCATAAGATGTTAAAGGGGGTTGGGATGGGGACGGATCAGGAAAAGAGCAGTAAATTTCAAAAACCTCCTCACCTGCACAATGTAATAATATTGCTTCTTTTCTTGAGTCATCTGTAATTCCAGCAGCAATTAAGA